CTGTTCTTTATCAGTTGCCATGTGTCACTGGAGAGCCATTCCTTGGTTGTCCATTTTCTTTTGCCCAGCACTTCTTGGCATGTGTCTGTCAATGTGTCTCTTAGGAAGCTCCAGTGTTCTTCCAGGGGTGTTTCTTCGGTTACCAAGTCCAAGGCTTTAAATCTGTTCCTCAGAGAGGCTGAAAAGGTGTCTCTGTAGGCTTTCTCCTTCAGCCAATGGATGTTAAACTTGATGTGAGGTCGATTGGCTATGTCTCTGAAAGCTCGTAGCTTGACTTTGATGGTTCCCATCACCAAGTGGTGCTCTGAGGCTACATCTGCCCCTCGTTGGGATCTTGTGTCTTGTAGGCTTCGTCTCCATTTCCTAGAGATAGTGATGTAGTCTATCTGGTTTTTGGTGTTGCTGTCTGGTGAGATCTAGGTTTCTTTGTGGATGTCTTTATGCTGGAATACACTGCCACCAATGACTAGGTCATTAAAAGCGCAAAAGTCTGTGAAAAGCTCGCCATTTTCATTCATTTCTCCAAGGGCCTGGGTTCCCATAATCAATTCTTTTCCAAGGTTGTCTTTTCCTATCTTGGCATTCAGGTCACCCATCAGTATCTTGATGTCTCTCTTGGGTAACTCGTTGACCACTGTATGGAGAGAATTGTAGAAATTTTCCTTTGCTTCCACATCAGCATCGTTAGTAGGCGAGTAGCATTGGATGAATGTAACGTTTCTTCCCTTGGAGTTGAACGTTGCTGTCATGATTCTAGGAGAGCCGGGCTGCCATTCCATAAGGGTTCTGGCTGCTACTGGGGACATCATGATGGCAACTCCTTCTGTGTGGTCATGATTCTCGTCTGCATGTCCCGAGTAGAGGATTTTCTCTCCACTGGCAAGTGATGTCATGCCAGACCCATTCCATCTGCTCTCACAGATTCCTAGTACTTGAATGTTATATCTTTTCATCTCACTTGCCACTTGAGCTGCTTTTCCAGTTTCGTACATGGTTCATACGTTCCAAGTTCTGATCTTTGTTGTTGCTTTCGTCGTTAGGAGATTCGTCAGCTGGTTGGCTTCCGTGCGGCTTTCACCAATCTGCGTCATCTGTCCTCCTGTAGAGGCATCTCCCAGATTAAAGCACTGGTTGGATTCTTCTGTTGTTTTGGTTTCTGTAGCGTGTGAGGTTTTTCAACTAACTACAACAGTCAAATCCTGCTTTTATATCAGTGCACAAGTGATAGGCTGATAATATAATATACTGTGTAGTATAACTTTTTTTTTTTTTGCATTGAGGAGCCTACTAATACTTTAAGTACATTTTGTGTTATTTACTTCCTTTTACTTAACATTATTAATGCAGGACTTTTCTTAACAGAGTATGCATCTTTTTACAGTGTGATATTAGTACTTTTACTTAAGTAAAGGATGTGAATACTTCCTCTGCTACTGGTGATAACATGCAAACTAACATGCTTTAGTTATATGACATGTTATAGTTGTATACATTTGTTTATCATCTTTATAACTCTGTTTATTCTTTAGGGTCAGTCTACTGTTGCAGTCCAGCCTAATCAACTGGCACAGTTACTTGCAATAAAATAGACATTTTTTCATTTTTCTGAGGGTCATTCTAGCTGATAATAATAGTGATTGTGTAATACCATGAAACCGTGATATTTCCTTAGACAGTTATCATACTGTGAAACTCTCATACTATTGCAACCCTAGTCGAGACTCTTGACAGTTTTATGTTACACTGGGGTCTTAACTAATGTATGTTTTTCCCACTCTTCTCCTCATTAGTCATCTTATTTTGTTTCCCTGCATTGTGTAGTTTATTTTCACAGTTACAAATGGTCTAGACAGTTCATATAATGTTAGCATTATCTTTTGCCTTTTTAAATGTAGCCATTACTTGTCCTGTCTGCTGTATTGTTGCACTGTGCAGTACTGGACGGCCTTGGCACAATGCCAGAGAGGATGTGGATTGGCCTTCACCAGTTAGACACATCTCAGGGCTGGCAGTGGTCAGATGGCTCCCCTCTCTCCATCCTGCGCTGGGAACAAGGCAAGGCTTTTATAATTTTTACTTTTGTCTTTGCTCTGTATTACTTTTAATCTTTGCTCCATTTCTGAGAGTATCTGTGTAAGTAGTGAGGAGTGTCATTATTTTTTGTATGTAGTTCCATGCTAAATTTATGGTCATGCCATTTCAGTTGATGACCGTAACAATTGTGAGACATGTAAACACACGTAAATTTAGAGTTGTTATAATGCATGGTGGTAAACAAAACAAAAAAAAACTGGTGTCAATGCGCCACAGTCCTGATTTAAAACTTAAGTTTGCAACAAATTTACTGCAGTAATCCAGTTTCAGTTGCCTGAAACGTCTGCCTCTCCCAGCACACCAAAACCTGTATCCTGTTGCTGTTGTTGCTGCCCTCCTATAAAGTGAGACTTGGTGTCATTGAGAGAAACACTGAGGCCAGTGTTTTTACAGAATCTCACTGTGCCTGGTTATTGGACACAGTGGGATTGTTGGTATTGCTGAATAACTCATTAATAGTAGTGAATGGAAGGCTTTATAAAGCCTTCTAGCCACTGTTAACGTGTTTGTTTTTTCTTCTCAATGGGAAGTTGGTGTTATTACTTTACAATATGAACATTATGGATACTGGAGCCATCTAGCCTTCTATGGATATGAGTTCCTTGTGGTTGCTATAATTCACAGCATTGCAGTGCTGCTACTAGCTGATTTAACCAGCACTGCAACATAAAACATTTTTATGAAACCTCTCTGTGTTGATAAACTGAGCCTAAATGGATACCTAGAGGTAAGTGCCAATCCTCTGCTCTGCTTTCACAGTCAGTATGTGATTTGGTATTT